ACTGATCCGGTTCTGGTGACTGTTTCATATGAAGAAAGTGAACCAGAACCAGACAAGGAGCAGCTCATCTCTCAGAGTTCTGCTGGACCTGAGGATCAGGATTCAGGGTCAGATGAGAAGATGGATCACACAGAGGGTCGTCATGGTAACCAAGCAGACCCATCAGCAACATCTGAGGTTTTTTTGTGTGAAATCTGTGGAGAAACATTTTTAGAGAAATCACTACATTCCCGTCACGTGAAGGTCCACAAAGTCTGGAACCAGGACTCTGAGAAACTGATGTATTGTTGTCCCACCTGTGGGAAAGACTTCTCTTCTTACAGTGGCTTAGTGGTCCACATCAGAACCCACACAGGAGAAGAACCATTTTCTTGTAAAACTTGTGGAAAACATTTTAAAAACCAGTCAAATCTGAATTCTCACATGAAGATCCACACAGGTTTGAAGCCTTTTTCTTGTAAAACCTGTGGGAAATGTTTTTACCAGAACACCCACCTGACTCGTCACACGCGGGTCCACACGGGGGAGAAGCCGTATATTTGTAAAACTTGTGGAAAAAGCTTTTGCAGGAACACCCATCTGACTCGTCACATGCGGATGCACACGGGAGAGAAGCCGTTTATTTGTAAAATTTGTGGAAAATGTTTTTTCCGAAATTCCCTTCTTACTCTTCACCTGAGAGTTCACACAGACTGAGCTGATGTACTTCAGTTGTTTGTGTTTGTGGTTCCAGCAAACATTTGTTTCTTTCAGCTCAGACTGAAGCTGAGTAAAAACAGTTTTTTTTTATCAAACTGAAGATTCAGTCAGAAACTGAAGATGTTCAGTAAATGATGAATTAAATAGGATTCATTAAGTTGTAGATTTAAGGAGTATGTTGGGTTTTATTTTGGTTTCATTAAACTTTAAACTTAATCCAATGAAGTTTGTTGTGTTTACACATTCTATAAATCCTAAAATCTTTCTTTGATACTAGGYTTTAAGTTATTTTATGTCACTTGACGTCTGGAGTAGGTGAAGTTCCTCATGCAGTTTTCATGTTTCTTCACACTCACAGCTGATACTCTAAGCGCAAACTCATAGACTTTTATCACATTAACAGCCTTCTAAAAATATGTCCCTAATAACCATTATCATAAGATTATTGTTCTTCAAAATCAGAGTTACATTCAACTGTTGTTACAGGATAAAGTAAAACATGAWACTGATTCACTTCATGTGTTAAAATCAACCTCTCATCCATTTATGTTTAAACTATGTAAAACCAAAAGCAAAGCATTCTCCTATAATCTACTTTTCTCTAATAGTTTTTGCAATAGTTAATCACAGAGTTGTAAAGTAACTAATACAAATACTTCTTTACTGTACTTAAGTAGAATTTTTGTGTATCTGTTCTTTACTTGAGTAATTGTTTTTCAGTCTACTTTTTACT